CACTCATTGAGCAGGGCTGTGTGTCCTCTCCTGCACCAAGCTTTGCAAGTCCATCACCCTCATTCTCATTCAGCTCCATTAGCAACCCTAACCCCAACGTACACATTTGATCCTCACATTCAAACCCTTCTTCGGCTTCGGGTCACCCGATCTCTGTGATCTTTGACCCTGGCCACTTCCTCTGCTCAACCAAATCGGACTTTCTTTATGTTGTCCTCTGCACCTCACTCCACCACACTAAGAGTGGTCGTGCTTTTGCACAATTTACTCTCTCGCTCTTTGGAAGTCTCCCCTCCTCGCTCCCTCTCCCTTCCCTTTTTCAGTGCCCACCTAAATCTCTCTTTGACCGCGCCTTTTGTTTACTCCACCTTATCACCCACTCTGTCTCTGTGAAGTCCTTTGAGACAGTAAAGTGCTCAAATGAGTCCAAGCCGCTATTAATGGGTCAGTTGAAGCCTCATTCCGTGGCGAAAGGAGCCACAGAAGCTGCCAGCAATACTCACGTCATTGACCAGGCTGCCCACTAGTCTGGGTGCTGCATTCTGAACCCTTAGAGAGACTGTGAGCATTTGGAGATCAGAGCTGCCATTTCGATCACTGGTAGACCCACAAATCAAATCTGCTTTATGTTTCGAAATCCAGAGCAGCCATGTTACTGAGAGTTACCTGCAATGTAAAGTCCTGTCTGGACAAGAATGATTCTGACTGTACCCCTTGGCTTTTTCCACCAGCTACCATTAGGATGGGGAATGAAATAAGTGCCACTGGGTCAGAGTCAACTGGGGGCGTGTTACACCCAGGGTAGTAGAACATGAGGATATAGGTTCAGGGGTGAGAAGGGCAATTTCAGGTCAGGCATCAGGATTTCTTTACCGAGAGGGGAATTAAGGCCTGCAACTGGGTTGCCAGGAAGGATGGTTTCAGTTAGTGCTGGGACTCATTTAAAGTGCAACGTAATGCAATGATGGGGTAAAGATAATAGGGATAGCGTAATAGAACATGCCTTCGGCTTCCCTCCCTGACCTCCACCCTTTCCGATCCCAACCCCCAGCTCGGATCCAAATCCCTGACTGTCCAGAGCCTTGGGACATCCTCCCGACGTGAAAGGCGCTATATAAATGTAATTTTTGTATTGAATTGTAGAGTAGACGGGGAAGGAGCTGGGAATTGAGATTAGGATGGATGGCTTCAATTGCACTCACACATTTACAATAAGTGCAACAACCTCCTGCTCTCAGGCATAAAGACTGAGACACAGAGGGTGTACTCGGGCCTCATATGTATATATGGGGTAACGTATACCTGCCCTGTGTATACCCGTGCTGTCATTGGGGTTCAAAAGCCGCTCAAGACAATCTGCCGCTCTTGGCAAAACGACCTCTTACAAGATCAATAGCTTTAGCTTTAAGTTAAGAGAACTTAAACATCACGGGAGTTAGCATAAACACTTGCAGCAGTCCCGCTTGTCACAATTTTGCCAGTTGAGCATTGAAAAAAATTGCTTCTCCCACAAATCTGCTACCAAGGGCAACAGGCTTATTTGCTATAGGCAGAGCATCCCCTCATGTGGACCTGTGATGTTGGTGGTGAACTTGCCATGTGGAGCAGGGGTTGATCATTTTACGCCACCATGTGGCTCTTTGTGGAATAAACACAAAGACATCCTGAAAAATATTTAGTCTGCCTAGCAAGTTAACAGGGTCTCTGGAGCATGAAAGATGAAGGGGTTTTCATCCTCCCACACAGGAACAATAAATTGATGCTTATTGCATTGTCCTTAGGTTCTTACCCTCTTGCTATTAAGAGCAGGAATTCTCCCGACTCGCTTCCTGTTAACACTGCAAGCCAAAGTCGTAACAGGTCCGAACTGGACAAGAAGCAGGATGTTTGCCAGGCAGTGCTCTCAGTAGCAAGCAATATGGGTTTAGCTAGTTAAATCCCAGCAGTTACCCCAACACACACTCTGGGGGTCTCCAAACCCGGAATTCAGTAAGCAAGGGAGCGTTCCTCCAGGGAGAGAGTGAACGTTTCCATTCAAATACACAGGAATTTCCATGTCGTGCATATGTGGAATTTTCAGTCTGGTTTGAACGCTCTTCAAAACAACAATTTTACATTTATATAGCACTTTTCATGTCAGGAAGATGTTGAAAAGGGCTTCACGCAGCTGACAAGGGACTTTGAGTTGGGTGTGTGGGGGGTGTGGGGGAGGATAAAATAAAAGAATCAGATGCTTCATAGCACCTTGTGTTGAAACATCTTAGAGATGTAATTGCTGATCTTTGTGTTGGGTGGGCTGCTGTCATTTACCCAAACATTGCTGGGTTATCCCACCAACCTGATGGTTTAATTCAAATCTACAGAACAAAATAATAATAATCTTTACATTTGATAAAGCGCCTTTCACTCTGAGAGGACATCTCATCTCAAAGCACTTCATAGGATACACAGTAAAGGTAAATGACGGTATGTTTTGTGCACTAACGTACCAGCCAATTTGCACACAGAAATCTCCCCAAAATGGCCATGGAGTGAATGATCAATTTTATCTGGGGATTTTGCCCAGGTCACCGGGAGAGAGAATCTCTCTATTTAAATTCTGTCATTGAAATTAACTGGAACAGGCAGACGGGATCTCTGTTTAACATCTCATCTGAAGGACAGCAATTCCTATAATTTGGCATACCCCAGGACTGCATTGGAGTGTTAGCCTGGCTTCTAACTCAGAGCCAGGCTGACAAGATAAAAAGTAGATTAAAATAGAGACTTCCTACACAGGAGGCCATTTAGCCCGTTGTGTCTGTTTTCCCTGTTATTAATCCCAATTCTCTCTCTCTCCTTACATGATTTTACTGCTCTGATGTTTACCCAATTCCATTGTGAATTTTTCTATTGAACCAGACTCGCTACAGGCGTGAATTACAAACCCTGACAAGCTCTGAGTGAAGAAATTCCTTTACCTCTCCCCTGATATTTCTACTAATATTTCTGAGTTCCCTTGTTCCCCAACTAAACAACATCAGATTTCTCTCTCTACTCTGCCGTGACCATTCAGTATCTGAAAGTCATGGTTTGGGAAGGTGCAATGGAGTTTGTATATGATTCAGCCTGCGGTTTGGGTGATGCAGGCGATTTATTTAATGTGCAAAGCAACATGAAACAAGGCAAACAGGCCAGATTCCAGAAGTCCAACTCAAGCTAAACGGCTCTCTGGTCGGACCGCAGGCTTAGTGTACAATTTACAGCAGTCAGACTGCACTTTAAGTTTACAGTGTTTCTAGCAAATGTTCAGCACATAAATTTAGTCACTGGGAGAAACTCCCTTCTCTTTTCCAACAGTGCCTTGGGATCTTTAACATTATGAACAGATCCAGAAATCGATTTAACATTTCAACCGAAGGACAGCACCTCGGATAAAGTAGTGCTCCATTGGAGCATTAACCTAGACTGTGAACACAACATGGGGTTCAACCTTCTGAATCGGAGGTGAGACATCTGTACTAACTTTTACGGTTAAGACAAAAAGCCGCTGATCTCTTCTGAGAAGGATTGCAGTTGAGGAGCAGGAGTCTGAGCGAGCACTGTTCTCACCCTGGCTGGCGGGGAGGAACGTTTGAGAATTTCTCAAGTTTACAGTGTTTCTAGATGTTCAGCAATTGCAATCGGTTGGTGCAGAAATCACTGTGGACAGTTACGCAAGATAGCGTTGTTATACTCGGCAGGTGATATAGTGTTGCTGTCTGTGAGCCAGTTCTCAACGTAATGTCACTCCCAAAGCTCAGTGCAATCTCAGGCTATTATTAAGAGTGGTCGCGCCCGAAGGCTCCTTTCTCCCCATGTTAACTCTTAAAGTGAATATTAACATAATTAAACAAAAATGGCCATCACATTAGCTTTCAATTATACACAGAGATCCCCATCAGGTGAGTGTGGCCAGTCAGTGATCACAAGGGGATTTGATCTTTGTTGTGTGGTGTCAGGCAATTTGTGTGATGGTGTGTCAGGCAGTCTATCTGATTGTGTGTCAGGCAGCCTGTGATATGCTGTGTCAGGGAATAGGTGTGATGGCGTGTCTGGCAGTGGGTGTGATAGTGTGTCAGACAGTGGGTGTAATGGCTTGTCAAGCAGTCTGTAATGTTGTGTCAGGGAGTGTGATGGTGTCAGAGAGTGTTATGGTGTGTCAGGGAGTGGGTGAGATGATGTGTCAGGGAGTGGGCATGATAGTGCATCAAGTGGTAGGTGTGATGGTGTATCAGGGAGTAGGTGTGATGCTGTGTCACAGAGTAGGTTTGATGGTGTGTCATGGAGTGGGTGTGATGGTGTGTCAGGGAGTGGGTGTGATGGTTTGTGAGCTGGTGGGTGTGATGGTGTGTTAGGGAGTTTGTGTGATGATGTGTCAGGGAATATGGTGTGTCAGGGTGTATGTATGATGACAGTTTCATATCAGTCTGAAGCACTGAAGCCAATCGTTGCTTTTTGTATCAACATTAAATTAAATTCCTGCTCGAAAATGTCTGTATTTTCCATGCCTTAATTAACTTGTCACATACTGAGTGTTTGAAACGGCAAGATATCAAGAACCTGTGAATAAAGGACCAGTAAATGCAAATAGATTTCATATTTAATCATCAGAAACGTACATCCCTACTCAGGCCTGTTCAGCACCCACACCTCATCTGTTCCTCCCCTTCCCAATCCCCTCAGTCACCACAGTGCAATCCGAATTGCCTATTCGAACTTGGAATCTAAAATGCGGGTTGGGCTAATAGACCATGAGCTAAGCTTGTGGAAATACTGAAAACACACAGAGCTGCCGTTAATCACATCATCGTCAATAATTGGAGTCAAACTAGCTAAAACCACACAGCTAGCCAGCGGGGTCCCGGGATGGGGCGGGCGAGTGGGAAGTAAAAAGGGTCTATTCAGGGTTTGAGCTGACTACAAGGTAAGATGTTTGACACGTTGGTAGAACCTGAAAGGGCAGACCTGTCACTGGGGGCAGGGACTCTTCCCGCTCAGCTCCTGTTAACCCTGCAAGCCAAAGCTCTATTGGGTAGGATTGTACTCGTTGGACATGTAGCGGGAAAGCTTGCCAGACATTGACCTCAATGGCTAGCTGTGTGGTTTTAGCTAGTTTGACTCCAGCACTCACTCCACACTCTCTAAGGTCCTCAGACCTTGTTTCATGCCAACCTGTGCCAAATACTCTCCAGAATTTGGTAAGCAGGGTGCATCCCTCCAGGGAGAGGGTGAGCAATCCATTCCAGACAATCGGAAACAATTATAAAGGTGGAACTCTTAGTCTGGTTTAGTAACTCTTGGGTTTCTGCATGTGTCAGACACGATCCCAGCTGAACAAAATGAAACCAATATTGGAACCATCAAAGCAACATTCCCAAGAGTCCAATCATGCTCATTTTCCCCTCAAATCAGCTGCAAGCTTGTAAAATCTTAGATTCAATACCCACACACACACATACATGTGCCCACACACATACACTGGCTAACTCTGCCAGTGAGCTCCGGGCAATTTACAGGTGAGCTATTCCGTCTCCACCAAGTTAACACCTGACAGGTTCCTGAGATGGTTAGATGGCTTGGGAGCTGGGGGTCGTTTGGGTGTGTTCCTGGTTGCATTCTGCACAGGTTGGGTGTCCTTCACCCTGCTGTCTGATGTGAATGGCTCATCTCTCTCTCTGCGGTCACTGGTCAAAGGACCTGGGACTGTCGCTGTCATGTCCTCACCATCTGTCCCAGGCGACTGCACATCCTTCCAGCGTCTGGCTCCCGATATTGTGTTGTACTGATACATCTTACCTGTGACTTCAATAACAGCAGTTATAACCTCACCTCTGACCCAGAAGGCTGTGGGTTCAAGCTCCAGGCCAGGGACTTTGAGCTCACAGTCCAGGCTGACACTACAGTGCAGTGCTGGGGAAGCACTGCATGGTCAGATCTGTCCTTCGAATAAGACATTAAACCATGGTCCACTCTATGCCGGTTCAGGTAGCCACAAGGTGGCACCCTTTGAAGAGCGAAGGGAATTTCTCTCTCCCAATGTCCTGGCCAACAACCTCCCAGATAAAATCATGGCTGATATGGGACGTTGTTGTGTGTTCGCTAATAAAACACACAGTCACTACACTTCACAGTAAAGCGCTTTGAGATGTCCTCCAGATGAGAAAAGCGCTTTATCCTAGGTAAGGATTATTATTCCAGGGTCCACTGGATGTGAGTGCTTCACACTTGGGGTATTGTCGGTCAGGACACCAGGAGAAACTTCCCTTTTCTAACAGCACCTCAAGAACTTTAATGCCCACAGAAGAAACATCAGTTTAACGTATTGTCAGGGGTATCGCTGAAAAATCTGCTCCCTAACACTGCAGCGGAGTGTCAGCCTGGATTGTGAGCTCAGAGTCTCAGGGAAGCCCCGCTCACAGGGAGGTTTCATTTGTGATCTTTCATTGAGCGCTTATTGTCCCAACCAGAAGAGGGGCTGCGTGCAACTTCCAGAGGCTTGACACCAGACCCACAAACCATTGTCTTGGAGGGGCAAATCAGTGACTGAAAGCAGAGATTTTTTCCACTCAGCTCCTGTTAACCCTTCCAGCCAAAGCTGTAACACGTAGGGTTTTCCTGATCAAGTCCGAATTTCATTTCCAAAACTCTGCACGATCTGAAATATTAAGCTTAAAGCTAATGGGGGGGGGCAGATATTGAACTTCAAGCAATACTGATCCCCAAATCTGGTTCCACATAAACTGAGGTAGCTGGAATATTGAGAGAGAGAATAAGAGACAGCGAGGGAGGGAAAAGCGATAGAGGTAGATGGTTGAGCGGTTAATACTTGCAAAATGTAATAGAAAACATGAGCTCTAAGCTATCTCCCCCTACCTGGGTCCAGAGCTTCTCCATCAAAAATGGTGGTGAATTTGGTCATTTCCTGTAGAGTGAATTGCAGATGGTCTCAGCTTTAATGCCCATTGTGCAGTTGTCTGCAGTCCCCGACCCCACACCTACTCCATCTCGTGATATCCCCTGGTGCAGGCTAAGTCCATGATGTCACTTACTCCTTCCCCCACTTCTCTGTCCCACGCAACATCAAATAATGTACTAATAATTCTTGCATTTGATATTGTGCCGGCACTTTTCAAAGTACTTCACCGGACTCACTATAAAGCCCACTATTTTGTGGGCGAAAGCAGCAGCCAATTTGCACACAGCAACGTTCCACAAACACCCATGAAGTGAGTGACCAATTTTATCTGGCAGATTGTTGGGAGAGAGAAACTCCCTTCTCTTTTTCAATAGCATCACGGGATCTTTAACGTCCACTTAACATCTGTAAACTGATGATTTTACGCTAGGTGTGCTCGATAATCACACTTGGTGTATCCGAGCAGAAATAGTGCGGCTGCAGCCACCCCCCTCATCTCCGGCGGGCTGGTTTCCATGGGTGAGAGACTTTGTTGCAAAGAAAGAACCAGCATGAACTGGACAGGAGTGGTTTGGTGAGGGGTTGGCGCAGACATAGTAGCCAGGAGTCAGGTACCCGCATGGGAAGGAGAGTGTGTCACGTGAAGAAAAGAGAGGCGACCAATATTTTATACAGGAACGGAGAGAGAAAAACTCCTCCTAGGCTGTCTGTGTAAGAGACTCAGAGACACAGAGAGGAAAGGACTGTGTGTGTAAGAGACTCAGAGATACAGAGAGGAAAGGACTGTCTGTGTAAGAGACTCAGAGATACAGAGAGGAAAGGACTGTCTGTGTAACAGACTCAGAGACACAGAGAGGAAAGTAAGACACTGAGGTAGAAAAAGAAGGAAGGCAGAGAGACGTACACAAAGAAGTCACCATTCTCTCCTGGAGGAAAGATTGGATCACCTTTGAATCCGAACTACGCATCCCTGGTTGTATGTATGATATAACAACTCAGCAATATCACTTCCATTGTATTGAAACATTAACTTAATTCTGAGGAATGCTGGTCAGCCTCTTGTATTACATTGTGAGGAACTGATAAACTCACATGTCTCCTTGAGGAAGAAATCTCTGGCATTATCAAACTAAACTATATCAAACGCAAGGATTATTTCTTATTAATTATTTAACTCGTCTGAAGGATGACATTGCAGTGCTTCCCCACTCTGCACTGCTATGTAAATGCAGGTTGTTGTCGTTGAGTGTTAGTCTGGATTGTGAGCTCAAAGCTACAACAGTGCTACCAAGTGAGCCAGGCAGACACACCGTGTGAATAATACCCTGTCCTTTCTATCCCACCTTCTGCCCACCTATATACCCCTCCATAGACTGTGCATGCTTCTCCTGAGCCTCTGGCAAGGTTCCCTCCCTTTCAGAACCAGGTCTCAATAAACCTACCCTTGACCTCTGCAAATGCTCCATCTCTAACCTACCATCTGATCTATTATGTTGGTATGATAGTTTATTCCTGTGTTCTAATCCCAATGACCTGCTCTTTTCTCATCCCCCTTGTGCCTGACAAATTCCCCGTCAATTATTTTAATGGCATTCTCACCTTTAATGATCTCTGTCACCCCAGCTCCCTCTGTTTCTCCACTTCATCGAGAATTTTGCCAGTTTCATTATATTTCCATTCTCCACTCTTCTTTCCAAAATGTACTGACTTTCTCTCACACATTCTCACACTCTAAAACACTCACTCACTCAGTCACTCTCTCTCTCCCTCTCTACTCCTCCCTTTCACTCACTCTCTTCTATCTCTCACATTCCACAATGAGCCTTACCACAACCACATCTTGTTGCCTCTTCTTCTGTTCTGCGGTTGAAAAATGAACAACTCAGTTACTTGTGTGTAGTTGGGAGAACAGTGAAGCTCAGTAAATGTCGCTGAGAACCCAGGCGCACTCACCTTGTCTCTCCACTCTGAAAAACAAGGAAAGAGCAAAACAAAGTGAGAAAGAGAATATTGAAACAATGGTATGAGCCGGACAAGAGATTCAATGCAGTATCATCGAGGTCTAACATTTTGGAGGTCAGATGGGTATCTGACCCCTGTGGAAGCCCATCACTCTGTTTAAGAGTATCCAAACCAGACTGAGAGTTCTATGCATCCTATCAACGCTGATCGGAATGGAATGCGCACTCTCTCCCTGAAGTATCCTGATTCCAGAGAGTATTAGCAGAATTAGGTAAGGTAAGGACGATACATCCCTCCGGGGAGAAAGTACGCATTCCATTCCACAGAGTTCCTGCAGATGTGATAACTCAGTGAGCAGTGTGACCCATTGTATTATACAGCTGTGTCATTTCTAATTTCCTGAAGCTGGAATGTGGCCAAAGGAGGCTGTTGGAGTCCATCAGGGTTTGGGGTCTGAGTAGACCTACTGTCATGGCCAGGAGACTTCCACAGCCCATAATTCTACCCAGTCTTAACCCATGACACATTTGGCTTTTCAATTAGGGTGGCATAGAACTGTGAAAAATTAGTTGGGAGCTCTCAGTCTGGTCATATGTGGAACACTCTGTCTGGTTTGGAGACTCTTAAGCAAAATGATGCTTTTTAGTGTGCGTGTGATTTGATCACCGGTTGATCCCAATGACAGATTTCCCCGTGTGTCAGACACCCGCCTGATTATGGTGATGGATTTTCGCGTGTGTCAGACACCGGCTGACCAAAATCATCAATCTATGTGAGGTTTGATCAGTGTATGACTGTGGTCAACATTATAACGTACAGCGTCTCTTTCTCAAGTTCCTTAGGCAGAGAGCGGATATATTTGACCAGGCGGAACGTCAGCAGTCCTAGCCATCCGAGGAGCAACAGGCAACCAACGGTGACAAGGAACGGGATGTACCACGCATCTTCCTCGTAGGTATTCTGTGAGATCCAGACGTATGTTATACTGTCCTGCAATGATAATAATAATACTTGCAAAGAAGGAAGTTTCTCTTGATGATCTGCCCGAGAATCCCCCAAATAAACATTTTCATCTGCTTCGTGGCTGGTTGTGGGATATTGCTGTGTCCAAATTTTCTGCCGCATTCACCCACAAAACACAGTCACTGCACTTGTGAAGCGCTTCACAATGTCTTCTCAAACGTGAAAGGTGTTGTGTCAAATATAAAGATTAACTGTTGTATTATTATTGGGGACAATGTATATCATGTTGAAGCGTCTCTAAGTGTCTCATAGATAATTGCTGTTGAGTCTAGTGACTGTAGGTTGCTAGTTGGTGGCAATGTCTCAGCCATCCAATGACTGTGATAATCATAGAGGCTTTCTGCACAGACAGGAGCTTTTCTGCCCATTGAGTCTGTACTCCCTTCAGACATGTGAGGCTGACATTTAGGGGTGCACTGCATCTCTCCTGGTAGAGTGCGTATTCTATTCCAGGCATAGGGACATTTTCATGCGTATGCATGTCTGGTTTGGAAACTTTTGCTGAGTTTCCACATTTATCAAACAACAGCAACAACAACTTTGGCCACCTTTTACATAGCACCCTTCACTCAGAGTGCTCACATGGGTGGATGGAACATATTTATAGAATAAGCTGTGCAATGCTGGGACGTACTCACTGTTGTGCTGGTTTCTTGAGTGGTGGTTGTGGGACGATAACTTTGACGTTTATGGTCGCTGTCCCGGTTTGCACAAGCTTCCTGTCTTCCCTCCCAGCCAGCAGATTGTCATCTGTGATGTGAAGAGTCAGCTCGTAGTCTGTGGCCGAGTCTATGCCTCTGAAGTACTGGAAGGCGATTGCAAGAACGAGCTGGGTGAGGTTGGAGCCAGCGCTGGGCGAGAGTTTGAAATGATTGTTCCTGTTACCTGACCCACAAAGACAGATACCAGGTTACAGCAAGAAACTGAAGCTAAACCAACGTCCTTCACCTGGGGTAAAGTCTCTGAGCTTTTCACAATGACAAGGCAGGACAGGGGAGAAGGTGAGGTGACCATTGGCGCAGTCGGGGGTGTGGGTTTTGAGGTGGGATATTCGGAGGGGCGTGAGACAGATGGGAAGGGGCCTCGCATTAAACTCGGGTTAGCCAAGCAGAATGAGGGAGCGGAGGAATGGGGTTAGAGATCGCAAATAGGGAGATGCTTGGACATGAAGGCATTTCTAGGTGATCTCACTCCGATCGTTCTCTTTGTCTCTCTGTCTCTCTCATGTCTCTTTCTCTGTTATTCCTCTCTTTCTCATCTCTCTCTCTGATCTTTCTGTCTGATCTCTCTGTCTGATCTCTCTCTGTCTCTCTGTGCTCAGGACAGTGCTGTGTGGTGTGACTGTGGACTGTGTTAACCACATTAATGGGGAGTGACTGATGTACCGGAGATGATGAAGTAACGGAAAGCCTGAGGGGCAGAGTCGGCATCTGTACAGGACAGGCGGAAACCTGCGATTTTGGTGCCGACAGCAGTTCCTGCAGAGACTGTCAGCTGCTGAAAGCCAGGATGGCAGACAGGAGGCTCGTCATTAACTGGGAGGATATTCACTGTAATCTGGGACAGAAGGGCATCCAGTTATAATCAACAGTAATAATGCTTTGCTCGTCTTTTATCCCGATCCCTCACATCCGAACGACCCAGAGGTCATGGTATCACTGTCAACTGCCATGACTTTGTTCGTGGATCAATAAGACAACCAATTTGCTCACTGCAGTGTCCCACAAACAGCCATTAAGTAAACTATCAATTTTATCGGGGGAATTGTCAGCCAGTGGGAGAGAGAAACTCACTTCTCTTTTTAATAACATCATATGGGATCTTTAACGTCCACCTGAATGGGCACAGACAGGCCATCTCATCTGAAGGACGGCACCTCCAACAATGCAGTTCTCCCCCCAGCACTGCCCTGGAGTGTCAGCCAAGAGTGTGAGACTGAACCAGGTGGACACTCTGTCTGGAATATGAGGGGGGGTGAGGGGGGAGCTTGTCCCATTAGCTGGACTCCCAGGGTCACTCCCTACTCTGAAAACACATTAAGTTGGAGCGGCTTTCCTGTGAGTCATTGCGGAATTTCGGATATCTTAATAAAAAAAATCCTTCCAGATCACGCAAACTGAATCCGTTTGAGATAGGAAACTGTGTATGATGGCGTGAGTGTAGTGAGCCCTTTACTGTTGTGGTGCCTGTCTGCCCTTTCTCCGGGCCTCCATCCACGGCTAGTACTGTCAGCACATAGTTTCGCTTTGTCTCATAGTCCGGCTTGGCCACCAGCTGAAGATTCCCTGAGGACGGGCTGATCCTGAACAACTGCCAGTATCCCTGTGTGCTTCCTCCTCCAACCAGAGAGTACGTGAGGGCAGCTGCTGGCCGGTCTCTGTCCTCGGCAGAAACTCTTCCGATCACTGTTCCACCTGGAAAAGTCAGTGAGGCTGAGAGGCCGAGTGAGACTGAGTGATGGGGAGAGATAGAGTGAGACAGAAAGACAGAGCGGGATGGAGACAGTTCCGGGCAGAGTGAGACAAAGCCAGAAGGAGCAAGATGGAGAGTTGGGGTATTTGTTCAAGAGACAGACACAGAAACCTCCTCTCTTGTGCCTGTCCCCCTCATTAAAATTTGCTGACAAGTACAAAATACAGTTACTCCACTTCACAGTATATCCTGTGACGCTCTTTGGGACATGCTCCCAATGTGAAAGGCGCAGTACTAAATGTAAGGATTATTCATATTATTGAACCACAGTTATAAGGAAAAAGGTGGGAAGAAATAACTGCTCAGTCTTTGGTTACTTACTTGTTGTGATCTCGGAAACATTGAAAGTATAAGACATCTGGGTGAAGTTTGGAGTGAATTCATTCACTGGCAGGATTGTAACATATACAGTCACAGTATCTGGTGAGGAGACAATCAGATACAAACAGGAATGAGGGACTTCAGTTATGAGGAGAGGCTAGAGAAGCTAGGATTATTCTCCTTGGAGCAGAGAAGGTTAAGAGCAGACTTAACAGAAGTTTTCAAAATTATGAGGGGATTCGACAGGGTGAACAAGGAGAAACTATTTTCACTGGCGTGTGGGTTGATAACCCGAGGACACCGAGTTGTTAAAAGAAACAAAGGGGAGGTGAGGAGAAATTTTTTCACACAGCGAATTGCTCGAATCTGGAATGCATTGCCTGAAAGGATATTGGAGAAATCGAGGAGATACAGAGGAGAGCGACCAAAATGATTGAGGGAATGCAAGGACTGGACTATGAGGACTGACTAAGTAAATTGGGCATGTTCACGCTGGAAAAGAGAAGATTAAGAGGCAACATGATTGCTATCTTTAAGATTCTAAAGGGGCAAAACAATATAGATCATGACAGTCTGTTTCAAATTGACCAGAATAGTAAAACCAGAGGACATGGCCTGCGATTGAAAGAGGTAAATTCAGAACAAATCTACACAAACACTATTTCAGTGAGCGAACAGTGAAACTGTGGAACAGGCTCCCCACGGGGAGATGGTTAAAGCAGGAAGTGTTGATTCTTTCAAATACAGATTAGATAGTTTTCTTTTAGAAAATAACACTATGGGATACAGTAACAGGTAGTTAGGGACATATGTGCGTACGACCATCGGGAGGATGGAAAGCAAACTAGATGGACCGTTGTCTTTTCTGGTCTAGCATTTCTTATGTTCTTATGAAAGGGTGGTGGAAGCTGATTTGATAATAATTTTTCAGAAAGAAGTAGATAATTATTTGGGGAGGACAAGTTTGCAGGACTATGCGGAGAGAGCTGGCACGGACACAATGGACCGAATATCCTCCTTCTGTCCTGTATACTTGCTGCACAGAATACTTGCAGCATATACCTTGTATATCAAAATGCAACGATTATTATTATTATTATTATTATTATTATTACTTACCTAAAAATGGTCTGCTGCCCGCATACAAATTCCGTACCTCCATCGCATCAGTTCTGGCCAGGCTTCACTGGCCAGAATAATACATTTCAATACCATGTATCACTTGGACCCGAACACGCTGGGCAAAATGGCCCTTTCTGAGTAGAATATTTCTAGGTTTTTAAGTGTCAGCCTGGCTCTCTCCTCTGAGTAAGGAGGTGGTGGGTGGGTGGCGTTGGAGACTTTGAGCTCACAGTCATGGCTGACCCTCCAGTGCATTGCTGAGGGGAGCACCCATTGTCAGAAATGCTGTCCTTCACATGAGATATTAAACCTTTTAGATGTTCTGAGTTAAAGACTGAAGTTGTCTAAAGTTTGCCTCACATTTCTCTCCCCTCACCCCCACTCTACTTACCCTGGTGATAGGGCGCCACACTGTCATTCACAATCACCAACATCTCAAACACATTTTCACCATCAAAGTTAGTTGGGTCTTCAAAGTCAAGAATCCCAGTTACCTTCAGAGCAGATGGAGAGAATACACTTCATGAATGTGCTTTCATCACGTCCAGGCTTGACTACAACAACAATAACAACAACAAAATTACATTTGTATAGCTCCTTTCACTTCGGGAGGACGTCCCAAGGCGCTGGACAATTAGTGTTTCGGACCCAAGGTGGGGGTCGGGATTGGGGAGAGTGGAGGGCAGGGAGGGGAAGTAGGGTGATAAAAGCACAGTCAAAGAGGAGGGTCTTGAGATGGATCTTGAAGGAGGCAAGGGAGGGGACGAGGCGGAGGGACTGCGGGATGGATTCCAGAGAGTGCGGGCAGGATGACAGAAGGCCTATCCACCAATTATGGTGCGGGCAAGGCAGGCAATAGCCCGCTGAGTGGAGGGAGCAGGCAGGATGGTAGGGTGTTAGGAGGTCAAAGAATTAGGGGGGAACAAGGCCATGAAGAGCTTTGAAGGTGAGGACCAGGATTTTGAACCATATCCTCTATGTGATCAGAAGCCAATAGAGTCGGGCGAGAGTGAGTGTTTTAGCGTCACAAGCCTGGTGCGGCAGAGGACATGGGCTGCAGAGTTCTGGATGATCTGCAGCCTATGGAGGAAGGAGTTGGGGAGGCCAATAAGCAAGGAGTTTGCATAGTCAACCCTGAATGCGTGTCTGAGGGTTTCAGCGGCCTGCGGTGTGAGACAGGGTGGAGCCGGGCGATGTTGCGGAGGTGGCGGAAGGCAGAGCAGGTCATGGCACGGATGTGGGGTAGAAAGGAGGTAAGGGTCAAGCAGGATGTGAAGATTCCGGACTGGCTTAGTCAGGTGGAGTGAGCATCCATGGATGGTAATGCTGTCAGTGCCTGAGGTGTGGAAGCGCTGACGGGAACCAAACAGGAGGGCCTCAGTCTTGTTGAAGTTCAACTGAAGAAAGTTAGCTCTCATGATGTCTGACAGACATTCTGTCAGGACAGCAGTGGTCCTGGAGTTGGGGAAGTTGACCCCATGTCTGCGGATGATGTCACCAAGAGATATAGATATTGAAGAAGAGGGGACCATGGACAGAGCCCTTAGGAATGCCACACAAGATGCTGCGGGGGCTAGAGGCCATGTGAGAGGTACAATCTGAACCATTCAAGGACAGAACCATAATGATTGAGACCAGGACTATGCTAACTCCCTGCTCGTCTGACTTCCCAGATCTTCCCTCCATAGGGTACGGGCCATCCAGAACTTTGCAACTCATGTCCTCTCCTGCATCAGGCTCCGTGAGTCAATCACCCCCAACATTGCCCAGCTCCCTATCCACCAGAGTATAGAGTTCAAGATCCTTGTGCTCACTTTTAAAGTTCCCCATGGTCTTGCCTTACCCTACCTGTGCAACCTATTAAAACCTTACCAACTTGCCCGCTCCCTCCACTCGGCAGCCACTGACCTGCTTCACGTCCCGACCCCTCCCACGCCGTTGCCTTCCCCACCATCAGCAGTCAGACCTTTAGCCTCTGCAACTCCATACTAGAGCCCCTCCACTTCACCCTTCCCTCGCCTCCTTCAAGGCCTGTCTCAAGACTTTCCTCTTTGATGATACCTTTGATCTTCCCGCTTGGATGCAATCCCTTGACTGTCCAGTGCCTTGGGATGTCCACTCAATGTGAAATATATATAAATGTGATTTGTTCTTGTTGAGAGTGATAATTCTGATGTTAGGACAGATCAACAACTGAACCAGGGTGACTCATCACCAGGGTTGAGCTGGCATCTACAATCAGGTAAACTGGGGCTCTCCAGCACAGAGGTTCCCTTCACTTCACACATTTTCTGCTCAAACATGAATTAAACTTACGTACCACGATAGTTCTGGGATCCCTCGGGTTCAAAGCAAATCTTCGGCCTGCCCCAGCAAATGGCCTCAGGATGTAGTTGAGGTGACTGTTGCTGGGGTCGGCATCAATATCCCGACAGATTAGAGAGACAACCTGTGATCCCTTGCTGGCGGTCTCCATCACCTGCACACTAGGCACATAGAGTTATTATAATAATCCTTGCATTTGAGATGTCTGAAAGGCTTCACAGGATAAGCAACAACTTCCACAGTTACGCGGATGACGCCAACTTTACCTTTGTAAAGTGCCTTTCACACCGGGAGAACGTCTTAAGGCACTGAACAGTCACGTTTCAGGACCCGAGCATGGGGGGCGTAGGTGGGATAAGGGAGGGTGGCTGAAGGCATAGACAAAATGAGGGTCTTGAGTTATGCCTTGAAGGAGACAAGAGAGGGAGTAAGGTGAAGGGATTATGGGATGGAATACCAACGATTGGGGGCAGAGAGGCTGAAAGCCCGGCCACCAATGGTAGAGACCTGGAGCAGGCTGGAACCTGCTGAGCCGTGGGAGCAGACAGATTGATAGGGGGTCAGCAGGTCAGAGATGTAGGAGGAGGCAAGGCTATGGAAGGCTTTGAAAGTTAGGATGAGGATTTTGAATTCTATCCTGAGGGATGGGGAGCCAGTGGAGCGGGCGAGAGTTGAGGTGATGAGGTCACAGAGCCTGGTGCGAGAGAGGACATGAGCTGTAGAGTTCTAGATGATCTGCAGCTTGTGGAGGGAAGTGTTAGGGAGGCTGACAAGAAAGGAGTTTCTATAGTCAAGCCTTGAGTGTGTATGAGGATTTTGGCGGTCTGAGGGGTGAGGAGTCGTGCAATGTTGGTGGGGGAAGGCAGAGCGGGTCATGGCATAGATATGGGGGAGAAAGGATAATTGAGGGTCGAACAGGTTCCTAAGCTGGTGAGGTCGAGTGACCTCGATATTGTCGGAGACAAATTGGATAGATAAGAACTAAACCATTCAAGGTCAGAATCTTGAAGGTTGAAGTGAGAGGACCGGCAGTAGAGGAGTATAGAGTAGTCCACGGTATCGAAGGCAGCAAAGATATCGAGGAGGACAAGGAGGCAGAGGGAGTCCTGGTCACAAATGGACAAAATGTCATTTGTCACCTTGACCAGAACAGTTTGGAACAGAAACCCAATTGGAGAGGCTCATGAGTGTAGGAGAGGAATGAGTGAAGCTGGGCAGTAAAGTGCAGTGACTGTACTTAGTGAGCACCCTGAAAGAGTGATGGAAGCCGATTTGATGACAACTTTTAAGAGAGAAGTAGATAATTATTTGGGGAGAACAAGTTTGCAGTGCTATGGGGAGAGAGCGGGAGAATGGATTTGTTTTAGGTAGCTCTTTTCAAAGAGCTGACACAGACATGATGGGCCAAATGGCCTCCTTTTGTGCTGTATAATTCTATGAAGTTATTTCCCAACAGACACAGTGCATCCAGTATAGACACAGTGAGGGAGTTGAGGTAAGCATAGAATTTTTTTTGTTCAGATTGGTGTCTGACACATGCGGAAACCCATCACCATGTTTAAGAGTATCCAAACCAGACTGAGAATCCCACCTACACATGGAAATTCCAGGGATGGATTTTTGGAATGGAATGCACACTCTCTCCCTGGAGGGACACATCCTGCTTACCTAATTCCAGAAAGTATTAGTCACAGGATGGCATGCACCAAGGCTTGGAAACCTCAGAATGTGCGTTGGGAAACTGCTGGAGTCCAACCAGATAAAACCACATAGCATGCCATTGATAGCACTGTCTGACAAACTTTCCTGCTGGACAAGGACCACCCTACTTGTGAGGGTTTTGGCTTACAGGGTTAACAGGAGCTGAGTGGGAGGATTCCCTGCCCCAGTGGCAGACCTGCCATTCCAAGGCTGGCTGTGCTGTCATCAGCAGTGCTCTGGAATATTGCAGACCCACATGGTCTAGGAACTGGACTAGATACCATCAAAGGTGGGCTCGATTCTGACGTAACATTGCCAAATATATTACTTTGGAACCAACTCAGCCCTGAAGAGACCCTGCTTACCTCCCTCTCCCCCCGAGACCCTGCTTCCTTCTCCACCAATTATTGACATGATTAACAGCTACTATGTGTGTTTTCAGTATTTCCACAAGTTTAGCCGGTGGTTTATTAGTCCAATTCGCATTTTAGACTTCAAGTTCGAATAGACAATTCAGTTTGCTTTGTGCTGACGGAGGGGATTAGTAAGGAGAGGGACCGGACAGCCAAGCCACAGAGGGCTGGCTCAATTCCGACTCCATTGCCAAATATGTCAGCTTGAATCCAGTTCAGCTCCAAGGAGATCCCGCTTACCTCACACCCCCCCCCAAAGAAGACAGGGATGCGGATTATAGATCCTTCTTTCCATAAGTTTTGCGCTTTCCCTACAGTGCTAGTACCTGTGTGTGTGTGGGGAACAGAATGGGTGCTTGTTGTTAATGTCCTTTATGAGGATTGTTATGGTGTCTGAGGATGTATGCCCTCCTCTGAGGCTGTCTGTAACCACGATTTGCAGCTGTTGCCTCGTAGCGTTTTTCAGTGAGGTGCTCCCTGTGTCCAAGGTCTGTGCCACCTGAATCTCACCTGTGGCTACAATCCATAGAGAGACAGAGAGTGTTAGTCGCTTACATTCCAGCAGAAGGCCACCCCAGAGGTCATGGGCATTTCATCCCAACTTTCCTGAATGGGCCCATCCAGTTGATGCAACTCTTATATGTCTATAATAATGTTATAATGATCCTTGCATTTGGTTTAGCTCCTCATCTCACTGTTGTGATGCCTCAAAGCGCTTCACAGGTTTTTACAGTTCAGTCAGGCCTACTGCACGTACCTTCACCATTAGTGGCTGTGCTTTTAGCCTCTATACACTGACCCTTAGGGACTCCCTGCCTCAATCCGTCCACCTCGACCTCTTCTTCCCCGTCTTCCATTCACGCTGAAGACTTCCCCTCTCTACCTGGCCCTGCGTTAAACTCTGCCATTGTTCAGAGCTTCAAGACAGTACCTCTTGAAGGGCGCGACATAAATGCAAGCTATTGTTGTGTCTGAATGTCTATGTGTGTCCAAGCATACCTGAATTAATTGTAAAATAGGGATTGTGTGTTTTGAGGTGATAGCTCAGAGTGTTGTCGTCCAAGTCCTCAGCTGTCACTGTTGTGATCACTGTACCGGGTGTCACATCCTCAAAAATCTCAATCAGTGTTGCAAGCCTGGATAAATAGGAACTCACACTTATACCGAGCCTTTCACATAGGATGAATATCACAAAGTGCTTCACAAAGTCACAAGATCGTTCTAGATGAAGAAGGCTCTTCGGACCATCTGCTCTCATCCATCCAGAACACCCACTCTAACTTTCCCCCATCACAACATCAAGCTGCTTTTTAAATGAATCCCAATATCCTGGCCTCAACTACCCTTTCTGATAACCTGTTTAATTAATTAACCTCTGAATAAAGAAAAACTTCCTGGGGTCTGTCCTAAAATTCCCCTTTACAACTCTAAACCTGTGGCTTTTTGTTCTACTGTCTTGTTGCATCCAAAACTATTGATCTGAGTTTGCTGTTTCAATCCCATTTCAAATGTCATACATCTCTGTAAACTCCCCTCTATGTTATCTTCTCTCAAGACTGAAGAGCCCTGGCTTGCCTAATCATTGCTCACAGCTAATTTCTCTAACACTGGGGATCATCCTTGTTGTTCTCCTCTGCACTACCGTTAGGGTCTGGGCAGCCCCTTATGTTGCAGTGACCCAAACTGTTTGTAGTATTCAAGGTGTGGTCTCACTGCTCAGCCTGTGTATGAGGTCTGGGGATCTAAACTCAGATGATTTAGCAATCTAGCCCAGCATCCTGTTTGCCTTGTTTATTGCTTCAAAATATCTTGTACTGGGTGACCAAAAATCATGATTCTATTACAATATCTAATGCGTCTTAAGGAAAGATGATATTTTTATGTGTTTTTAGATAATAGGCTAATAGATAATAGAATTTTTGTACTTATTTTGCCCACAAAATATACAGTCAAAATATACAACTTCTTAAAAATTCGCTTTGCAGTATATTCTTGAACACATGATAAGGCACAATATCAAATGCAAGGATTATTAGTATTATATCGTGCTTCTCACATAGGATTCAAAGCCACTCCTTCCAGTAACTCTCGCCCCATCCCGAGCCTCAGAGTTTCCTCATCAGCTACCTGACGAACATCTGCCTTCAGTGTGGTGGGAGGACCTTTACAAAATAGTTTGTGATGTGCTAGCCACCTTGAGGTTGATATCAAAGTTACCAATGCCTGACTCAGCACAAGTTGCTTAATCCAGATCCTTATGTGAGAGGCAACTCCATCTCTCGTGTACTCAGTGATAGATCAGTGCACAATACACGGTTACAACACTTTATAGTAAAATCCTGTGGAGCGCTTGAGACGTTATAGGTTCTGTATCGAGTGCTATTAATATTATTATATTGTGAAGAATCAAGGAGCTGTCAAGCCAGGAAGCAGGGTGTCCACTTACTTTGTAAATCTTGGGCTGTTGTCATTAAGGTTTAGTATATTCACCAGCAGAATCCCAGTAATGAGGTGACCATCTGTGTCCATCACTGTCACTGCAACAGCAAAGCTGTAAAAAACAGCAGTCACTCACAGAGTGTTAAGCACCTGACTGTGGAAAGCTTTGCATAGCGTAGAACTGTATAGAAAGGGTACCTGTGTGGGTCTGTTTCATAGTCTAAGGTTTGAGCTGCAACGATAATCCCAGATTGTCCGCTGGAGTGAGCAGCGAAGAGTGTCGAGTTCACTGCAAACTGCAGTTCAAAAGAGACTTTGTTATATACTCTAATCAAACGGTTTCCCTGACTGTTTACCATTTCATCTCTTTCCTTTCAAAAATTCCTCTATCTAACTTCCACATGCCTCAACCCTCTTGCCCCCCCCACCCCATCTCTGAGACCTCCTTCGTTCCTGTTCCCCTACACCAACTCTGCTCAGCCTTTGCGCCCTCCATTTCAGATGTGCTTCACCTCCCCCATACAACCTCCCCCAAAATCCCGGTCTCGTGCCCCTCCATTGAAATCGCTCCATCTCGGCCCTGCCCTCTGCACTTTCAAACCTCTTTTCAAAAGCTACCTGTGTGGATGCAGCTTTGGCCACCTCCTTCCACCCTCTATAAAGCCCTTTGGGATGTTTGACTATTTGAACTTCACGCAGAGGATAGTGAGATTGGGGAACTGACTGCCTGAAGTGGTGGCTGAGTCAGATAGTGCAGATGCATTCAAGAGGAATCTAGGCCTTCACATGAGGGAGAGGGGAAGAAAAAAGTGAAGACTTATGTGGAGTATAAACATCAGCTGAGTGGCCTGTTTCCCTGCTGTCCAGTCTTTGTAAAGGTAAACAGTGTTGAAATGTGCAGGTCAACTGTAGAGATCAGTGGTTGGCATGGCTTGTCTCCAGTTAACATTCACCAGTCTGGCTTTGTCTCTTTCACTTGATAGTTGTGCACAGGTTACACTTGGAAGCTTTGCATTCATCTCAGGTCACCACCCACAAACAAAACACGTGCACTTGTCTTTTGACCACATGAATTTCCTTATGTAATGCCAGCGTCACCTATCACCACCAGGTGGTGCTTGCGCAACAAATAACATCACTTTACAGTAAAATCTTTCATGCCATCAGCGGTCAAATGTGGATTTCAGCCCAGGAGTGGGCTTAAGTGGGGTAGGGGTGGGTTTTGCCGTAACAAGTTTTACGTGGATGTGAAAATAGAGGGCTTTGCCCTGTCTGCAGCACTTACTGAGAGGGTCTCGTCTCTGTCAGGGTCAGTTGCTTGAACCTCATATATCACTGTCCCTGCTTCTGAATTCTCCAAAATGTTGACTTGTACAGCTGGAAAAGGGAAAGGGAAATGGCATCAGTGTGATGGGCAGCCGCTTACTGCTCACATATTGTTCGTGGGACAGGTTCAGTAACCAGCATTTTAGCGCGCATCTCTTTAGGTTTCCATACAGCCCACCCCCAGCTCGGGTGCAAACCCTCGACCGTCCAGCACCTCGTGTGTCAGCCTCGCTGACCCTCGCCTCTGAGTCAGAAGGTTCTGTGCGCTAACGCTGTGCCCGGCTGACATACTCCAGAGGTCATGTGGCCAGCCACTGGCGAGCAGGGAAATTATGTCAGCAACGACCTGACAATCCGGAAATGCTGACCAGCAACCACTTTTATAGCACTGGGTGTGTACGTATGGACCACAACGCTCTAATGGGATCCAACTGTTTTGCCCAGAGATGAGAATGTGACCTTGGACAACACTCGCCTCCGTTACTTAGACCATCCAGGAACCTGGGCGGCTCGTTCACATCACTTAAAATCACAGTGAGCACTTTGAGATCCGTGTATCCCTTATTATCTTCCACAAAGATCGACAGCTCAAACTGCCTTTGGGTCTCATAATCCAGCCCCGCGGAAGCCAAGACAATCACCTGAAATAACAAGGAAGTTAAATCACTCTGCTTTTCCCCTGTTCCTCCAGAGCATGAGGACACGTGGGGGTAACGTACGTACGCGGCATTTCTTAAAAGTGTTCCCAAATCAACCTGTCCGGTCCCTCCACTCAGCAGGCTCCGGCCGGCTCCATGCCCCCGCCCGGCCCGCCCCACAATTGGCGATCGGGCCTTCAACCTCTCTGCCCCCACCCTCTAGAACTCCATCCGACATTCCATTCCCTTACCTCGTTCCCTCTCCTGCCTCCTTCAAGACCCTCCTCTTCGACTGTGCCTTTGGCCACACTCCTATGCTTTCTGCTCTACCCGCCACATGCAACCACGCCCCTCCCACCCCCGGTTAGGGTCCATCTCTGACTGTTCAGCGCCTTGGGACTCTTTGGGACATCCTCCTGATGTGAAAGGCGCTTTACAAATGTAATTTTGTATTGTATTTTTATTGTGTTGCAGCATGTTTAACATCCAGCTGAACAAGGAAAGATGGGTTTTAACAGCTCATTCGAAGGATGGCATCTCAGACATTGCAGCACTCCCCCCAGCACTGCACTAGAACGTCAGCCAGGATTGTGAGCTCCAAGTCCCCGAGGTGGGGTTTGAATCTACTACCTTCTGAACCAGAGGTGAGAGCACGATTGATTTAGGTTCACCAGCCTAACACTCACTGTCAGGTTCAGTCCAGACACCACAGAGACGCTGAAGAAGTCATTGAGCGGTTGGGGGCTCAGGATCCGAGGGGAGAGTGTGGTGCCACCAAGTGTTGAAACCACATAACAGTTGAAGATGCTGGTCCCCGCCGGGATATGCTCCTGCACTGTGATGGTGGCAGGCAAACCCGCCAGTGCCAGGGCACCTTCAACTCCTTTGCGTGAAGAGAAAACAATGTGCTTTTACTCTGCTTTTGGAAAATGATGTAAATCACACCACCTACTTGCCAACGTCTCATTTCTTTATATCAGAAAACCTTTTGTTTAAAATGCAAACAACAATAATAATAACAACTTGGATTTATATAGCACCCTCCACGACAAATGGCGTCTCAGAGCCCTTCACAGTAACGGATCCCGGGGCCGAGCCGGGGGAGGGGGAGAAAGGTGACCAAAGAAAGGTCTTCAGCCGAGACCTGAAAATAGGAAGAGAGGGAGCGACGCGAAGGGAGTGAGGAAGGGAGCAAAATGTGTGTGTGAGGGTGTGTGTGGAATATGTGTGGTGTGTATATATTTGTGTGTGTGTAATATGTGTGTGTGTGGAGTGTGTATGGATGTGTTTGTGTGAAGTGTGTGAGTGTGAAGTGGAGTATATGCAGGTTTGTGTTTGGGTTGCTTGTATGAGGCGGAGAGCATCACACTCAGACTTCATTCACAACCTTACACATCAACACACAAATTCCTTTAACCATACGGTCCTCAGCACTTGTCTGAACACAGTGAATCCCCAGTGTTTGTACCCAGGTAGTGAATGCATTGGAGAACAGAGCATAAGTCAGACAGGTGAGCGAGCACTCCTCAGCTGGGAGGAGAGGGGGCGTTGGGGTTGTGAGGAGGGGAGAGAGGATGGCAGTGCAAACATACCTGCTGGTGTCAGACCCAAAAGGTGAACGAGAAGGAATGGTTTGAAGAAAGGAGCAAGGCTCTTCATTGCTCACCTCAGCTCTTGCTTGTTGCCTTTCTGTGTTGGAGATTGTTGCCTGGCGTGACACACTCACCTGACATATTGATTGATGTGACTGTTTTGTTTTAAAAAAACACAAAAAGCAATTTTGTTTGAGAATGTGTGTGTGAGAGAGTTTGTGTGAGTGTCAGCCTGACTTAGTCAGGAACAATCTTGCCTCTGAGTCATAAGGTTGTGGGTTCAAACCCCACCTTGGGACAGTGCATTGCTAGTGGGGGGACTGAAATATCCAAGGTGCTGTTGAAGCCGAAGTCCTGTCTGCCAGTTGAAATGAACATTAAAGATTCTCAATAATGTTGGAAAAGAGCAGGGAGGTACTATCTCTGGTGTCCTAGCCAATAGTTCCCCAGATAAAGTAGGTTGTTCACTTTGTCGCTATCTTCATTGGGATTTAGAAACAGTTCCTTGTGCCACTACCTCCTCGCATCGTCAGCTCAGTGCGTTGATCTGAAGCAGTTTGAAGCAATTCAGTGTGCACTCTGCATGTTGCCGTGTGCTCTGCATGTTGCCCTGTGTGCTCTCCGTGTTGCTCTCTGTGCCCTGCGCGTTCCCCTGTGTGCTCTACGTGTTGCCCTGTGTGCTCTACGTGTTGCCCTGTGTGCTTTACTTGTTGCCCTGTGTGCTCTATGTGTTGCCCTGTGTGCTCTACTTGTTGCCCTGTGTGCTCTATATATTGTCGTGTACACTCTGTGTGTTGCCCTGTGTGCTCTGCGTGTTCCCCTGTGCATGCTCCACATGTTGCCGTGTCGGAGCTGCCTGTTGCCTTGGGACGTCCTCCTGATGTGAAAGGCGCTTTATAAATGGAATCTTGTTGTTGTTGTTGTTGTTGCCCTGTGGGAGCTGCGTGTTGACACACACAGCGTGCAGAACACTGACAAAATGTCTGTTTCAGACATGCCCTTGTTGGCCATTACTCAGCTCATAGTGAATTTCACCGTGTGGTGTGGAGTCTGCAGAGAGCTGATGATGCCACAGCGTTGGACAGACATGAGAGTTTACAGTAATCTTAACACCAAGACACGAGGGAAACTCCCTTCACTTTTGCAGCAACACTGCGGAACCTTTAATGTCCATCTGAATGGGCACAGCCGAGACCTCCATTTAAACATCCGAACCGAACAACATGGCTGTGTACAAACCTAGAGCCATATTATTACTTGGCACTTGTTGGGGAGCAAGACTGCTTCAGACCTGTGGATGGTGATATAACCCCTGAGCAGAGCTCTCAGCACAGAGAGAGGGGGCTCGAGAGCATCAGACAAAATCCAAAAGGGTATTGACTTGAACATACAATTAGTGATTCTTATCGGTATCTGGGATCCCTACCTCTCCGACCTGCTCACATCTTCTCTTCTACCCACTCCCTTTACTTAGCCAGCCCTGGCCTCCTGCATGTCCCTCATTCCCTCCGCTCCACCATCAGTGGCCAAGCTTTCAGCCACTACACCCTGAACCTCTGGAACTCTCTGCCTCAATCCCTCCACCTCGCCCTCTCCTTTCCCATCTTCAGATCCCATCCTGAAGACTTTCCTCTTCGACTGTGCCTTCAGTCATCTCCCCTCTCTCACTGGCTTGGGGTTGGGCTCTGCCACTGTCAAGCACTCCGAGTAACAGAGAGAAAGTGACGCAACAAATGCAAGTTGTTGTGGTCACCAACTATTGTTTGAACATTGACTTCCTTCTTTTTGGTCAGCCAGATGTCTGACAAAAGTAAAACTCCATCACCCTAATAGTCTCCAAACCAAACTGAGAATTCCATGCATCCCAGCAACACATGGAAATTCCAACTAAAGATTGTTGGAATAGAATACGCACTCTCTTCCTGGTGGAACACATCCTGCTTACTTAATTCTGGAAAGTATTGGATACAGGTTGGCAAGAGCTAAGGCTTGGGGTCCCCAGAGTGTGCGTTGGGGTACTGCTATAGCTTAACCAGCTAAAACTGCACAGCTTTCCATTGAGAGCACTGTCTGGCAAGCTTTTCCACTGTTTGTCCAGCCAGCACCACACTGCCCATTAGGGGCTTGGCTGGCAGGGTTAACAGGAGTTGAGTAGGAGGAGTTCAGCCTCCACCCTCAACTCCAGGACTACTGGTGTCCTGACCAACTGCATGTCCGACATCAAGTCCTGGACGAGAGACAACTTTCTCCAACTCAACATCAGCAAGACCGAGGCCCTCCTGATTGGCTCGCGCCAGCGCCTCCACACCTCAGGCACTGGCAGCATCAGCATCCACAGCTGCACACTCAACCTCACTAAGCCAGTCAGGAACCTGGGTGTCTTGTTTGACCCTGAACTGTCCTTTCTCCCCCAAATCCACGCCATGACCAGCATCTGCCTACCACCACCTCTGCAACATTGCCAGACTCCGTCTCTGCCTCACCCCTCAGGCTGCTGAAACCCTCACCCACACATTCGTCACATCAAGGCTCGATTACGGAAACTCCCTCCTCATTGGCCTTCCCAACTCTTCCCTTCACAAACTTCAGATCATCCTAAACTCTGCAGCTCGTGTACTCTCGTGCACCAGGCTCCGTGACCCCATCACTCCCACCCTCGCCCGACTCCACTGGCTCCCCATTCCCCAGAGAATCGAGTTCAAGATCCTCATCCTCACTTTCAAGGCCAACCATGGCCTTGCCCCCTCCTACCTCTCTGACCTGCTGACTCCCTACCCACTCCCTCCATTCAGTGGGCTTCGGTCTGCTCCATGTCTCCCGCCCGACCCGTCCTACCATCAGTGGCCGGGCTTTCAGCCTCCCTGCCCCCACATTCCATCCCATGGTCCCTTCGCCTCGCTTCCTCCCTCGCATCCTTCAAGGTTGGTCTCAAGACCGTTCTCTTCGACCATGCCTTTGGTCGCCCTCCCACCTCTCTGCCTTCCCTCAGCCCTACACCACCTCATGCTCAGGCCCCGACACCTGACTGTTCAGTGCTTTGGGACGTGAATGGCACTCTATAAATGTAATTTTGTTGTTGTTGTCATTCAGGAACAGGACTAGAGACTATCACAGAGGGCTGGTCTCTCTTTTAACATGGTCTCGCTCTCTCTCTCTCTCTGCTAGTTTTTCTTTCTCTCTCTTAACAAGATTTGCCTCTCTGTTACAGGGTCTCTCTCTCAGTGTCTCTCCCTGTTACAGTGTCTCTCTCTCTTTCTCTCTGTTACACGTGCTCTCTCTGTGTGTGTTACAGGGTCTCTCTCTCCATTACAGTGTCTCTCGTTAAAGGGTCTCTCTCTCTGTTACAGGATCGCTCTCTGTTACAGGGTCTCACTCTCTCTCTCTCCCTGTTACAGGACCTCTTTCGCTCTCTCTGTTGCAGGGGTTACAGGGTCTCTCTTTCTGTCTCTTTCTTTCTGTCTGTTACAGGTCTCTCCCTCTCTTTCAGCCTTGCTCTATTCCAAGGGGTTAATTTCCATATGTATGCGGATGACACCCAACTCTATGTCTCTGCCCCCATCCTCGACTCCAGGGCCTCTGCTATCCTGACAGAATGTCTGTCAGACATCAAGTCCTGTATGACATCTAATTTCCTATAGTTGAAGGCTGACAAGATCAAGACCCTCCTGCTTGGCTCCTGTCAGCGCCAACTCACCTCAGGCACTAACAGTATCACCATCCATGGATGCACACTCCACTCACTGAGCCAGTCAGGAACCGAGGTGTCTTGTTTGACCCTCAACTGTCATTTAAACCTCACATGCGTGGCATGACCCTCTCTGCCTTACCACGTCTACAACATCGTCCAGCTCTGCCACTGCCTCTTCCCTCAGGCCACCGAAACCATCATCCATGCTTTCATTGCATCCCGGCTTGACTGTATTAATTTCCTGCTCACCGGACTTCCCAACTCTTCCCTCCATAAACTACAGATTATTCACAACTCTCAGGTGACAAAAGTTGAGTGCAAGGTACGGTCGGAGACGGGCAATATGGCACAGGTGGCAGAAAGTATCCTTGTCACAAGGACAGTTGAGAATCAAGCCTGACGTCTAGATTTAGCAAGTCTGAGGGAGAGACCGGGGAGGTTAAGAAGTCTCAAGGCACTGGAGAGGTAAGCTTAGGGTTGGATTCAGGATGGTGGGGGCCCGGTGGGTGGGGGGGACTTACAGACTGAGTCCTGGATGATGCAGTGACACATTTTCGCCAGGAGGGGGCTAATGCAAGCCTCAATTCTAATAATAGCAATCCTTGAAATTTGATAAAGCCTTTCACATCAGGAGCCTTGGGAATCTTGGCTGTGTGCATGCATACACCACCACCACAAATTACATTTGTATAGCGCCTTTCACATCGGGAGGGGGCCCAAGGCATTGGGACGGTCAGGGATTTGGAGCTGCGTGAGGGGTTGGAATCAAGAGAGGTAGAGGGCAGAGAGGTTATGGGTAGGAGGGTGACCAAAGGCCCGGTTGAAGAGCAGGATCTTTAGACGAGCCATGAAGGAGGCAACGGTGGGAGCGAGGTGAAATGACTGTAGGTCGGAGTTCCAAATGGTGGGGCTGGTCAGGGGAGTGATGTGGAGCAGGCTGGAGCCCACTGAGCAGAGGGAGTGGACAGGTCGATATGGAGATAGCAGGTCACAGAAGTAGGGAGGAGCAAGGCCCTGGAGGGCTTTGAAGGTGAGGACGAGGATTTTGAACTCTATCCTCTGAGGGGGAGCCAGTGCAGCCAGGCGAGCGTGGGGTGATAGGGTCACGGAACCTGGTGTGGGAGAGGACATGAGCTGCAGAGTTTGGATGAGCTGCAGCTTGTGGAGGGAAGAGTTGGGAAGGCCAACAAGCAGGGAGTTAGCGTAGTCGAGCCTAGACGTGATGGTGAGGGTCTTGGCGGCCTGATGGGAGAGGCAGTGCCAGAGCCGGGCGATGTTGCGGATGTTGAGGAAAGGCAGAATGGGTTATGGCATGAATGTGGGTTAGAAAGGATAGTTGAGGGTCAAACAAGATGCCAGCCACATGAGAACGGTTTAAATTGAATTGGAATTAAATTGGAGCAGGGCTGAGTGCATGCACCCACCGGCCTCTCTCAAGGTTAATGCGGGAAATTATAAATAAACTAGGAACCAGGTCAGCGGGTTTTGAGGTGTCGAATGGAACGGAACAGTCCCCATGCAATCCAGGACTGTAAGGAGGTACATAAACACTTCACTGGATTTACTGTAGTCGAGTGACTGTGCATTTTGTAGGAAAAGCATATTTAATTATTGTTAATAATAACAGTTCTCACATTCCATACAATTTAGGCACATCTCAGATTGTGATGTGGTGATTGTAATTTGTGAAAAAACATGGCGACACTAGAGATTAAAATAAAGTAGTTTTTTAACAGGGAGAAGTTAGAGAAATGCACAGCAAGAGAGAGAGAGAAAGATAGAGCAAGAGTGACAGAGATAGAGACAGAATGCGAGAGATGGAGAGCGACAAAGAATGAGGTGGCTGACTTCTGCGTGACTTCACCGACTGTAATTTGTTTGAATTGTGTGCAGTGTTGTGCTGGGTTTCTGTGTTGTGCTGCAATTTCCCTTTTTCACCACAAGATGGCAGCAACACTTTATGCAAACAACAACAACTTGCATTTATAGAGCACCCTCCATTTTACTATTCTGGACAAGTTGAAACAGCCGTCATGATCTATATTGTTTTGCCCCTTTAGAATCTTAAAGGCAGCAATCATGCCGCCTCTCAATCTTCTCTTTTCCAGCGTGAACATGCGGCGCTCAGAACACTTAACAATGGCCCAACGCTTGGTGTATTAGATTCAGTCACATTATTCAATGATAATCATCCTTACATTTGGTACAGTTCCTTTCAAATTAGGAGGACACCCAAAGTGCTTAGTTACTGTTAAGTACGCTGAGACATTACCCTACATGAAGGGCGCTATATAAATGCAAGTTGTTGTTGTAAGGAGTATTTTGTGGGTGAAACATGGCAGCCAGTTTGCGCACAGCACTGTCCTACAAACAACCATGGAGTGAGTGACCAATTTTGTTTGGGGGAATTGATGGCAAGGACACCGGGAGAGAAACTCCCTTCTCATTTTGAATTGTGCCATGCAATGTGTTTCTGTATTGTGTGCAGTATTGGGGAGAGCAGTGAGTGATCATCGCTGTCTGTGTACGTGCACAAGTGTGTGACGGGATGAGGTCAGAGAGAGGGTCAATCACTGTATATGTGTGTGTGAGACTCGGGGGAGACAGTAAGAGGGTTAATCGCTCTGTGTGTGTGTTGGGGAGGGAGATAGTTAAGCACCCTCTGTCTGTGTGTGATTGGAAAATGACAGATGGTTAATCCTGTATCTGTGTAACTGGGGAGAGACAGGAAAAGGGTTTAAATAAATACATTGAATGCGGCTCCTTGCACTTCGAACAACATCTTGAGTGCTTCACAGGATTTTACTCTGAAGTTCAGTGACCCTTTACATACACTCCCCATCAGCACCGCTTCCACACTCAGCTCATTTGCAAGCCATAGCTTTAACAGTGGTCTTCTCTGGACAAGCAGTGCCCTCTCAATGGCAATCTACGGGTTTAAAACCCTGCAGTAACCCCAACTCTGCGTCCTCAAGCCTTGGCTCTTGGCAACCTGCATGTAATACTCTCCGGAATTGGGTGCGCAGGGTGCAGGGGAGAGAATGTGCATTCCATTCCAAATACAGAAATTCCTATGTGTAGGTGAGATGCAAGAAATTCTCAGTTTGGTTTGGATACTCTTAATTCAGTGATGGGGCTCTGCATGTGTTAGACACTCGGCTGACCCAAAAATAATCAGGATTACATAGGACCATAAAAACATAAGACATGCTAGATGAAAAAAGTCCAAGAATCTAGTTCACCTTCCACCTTTCTGGCAGTCGTACACACATATGTCCCAAACTACCGATGTACTATATTCCATAATGTTATTTCCTAAAAGAAAACTATCTAATTTGTGTTTGAAAGAATCAACACTTCCTGCTTCATCTTCCTAGGGAGCCTGTTCCACAGGTTCACTATTCACTCACTGAAATAGTGTTTCCGTAGATTTGATTCTGAATTTATCCTCTTCAATCGCAGGCTGTGTTTCGCTATTCTGGACAAGTTGAAACAGACTGTCATGATCTATATTGTTTGGCCCCTTTAGAATCTGAAAAATAGCAATCATGTCGCCTCTCAATCTTCTCTTTTCCAGTGTGAACATGGCCAATTTACTTAGTTCCTCCTCATAGTCCAGTCCTTCCATTCCCTCAATCATTTTGGTTGCCATCCTCTGTAGCTTCTTGATTTCTCCAATATCCTTTCTGTACTGCGATGACCAGAACTGTACACAGGATGGTCTCACCAATGATTTATACAGTGGCAGGATTACCCCACTATTTCAGTTTGCTATTGATCTTTTGATACATCCCAATATCTGGTTTGCTTTACTCACTGCCACAGAGAATTGTTGGGAGAGCTTCAATTTATTGACAATCAGGATCCCAGGTCCTTTTCATTTTCCATAAATATTATTTTCCTTCTGTTCAAATAATAGTCCCTTCCAGGATTTTTGTCCTCATGTGAAGTACTTTACATTTCTCCACATTGAATTTCCTAGGTATGTTCAAATCCTCCTGTAACCTCTCTTGTTCAGCTTTGCAATCTACCACCTTCATTAGATTGGTGTCACCTGCAAACTTAGACATTGTGCTTGCAACTCCTAGTTCCAGATCATTTATAAAAATATTAAACAAAAGAGGTCCTAAAAACAGACCCTTGTGGAACTCCACTGGTAACATTTTCCCAGTCTGTTGATATTCCCTGTACCACCACCCTCTGGGTTCTTCTGGTCACAATTGTGTATCCACTATAATATACCTCCATTGATTCCCGCTTTCCTTACTTTCAGTACCAGCCTCTCAAGAAGAACTGTATCAAAGGCCTTGCCCTTATCAAGCTCATACCATCAAAGAAAACCAGTAAATTTGATTGGCAAGACCTTCCTTTCATGAAACCATATTGGCTATCATTTATGATTTTATTTCTGTCCAGAAGCTCCATGATTTCATCCTTAATAAGTCCCCATAATTTTACCCACAATGGACGTCAAACTTATCGAAACTTATGGGCGTCACCTTGTCATCCTCACCTACAAGGCCATTCACGGCCTTGCTCCCTCCTACCTCTCTGACCTACTATCCCCCTACTTACCTGCCCGTACCCTCCGTTCCTCTGGCTCCGGTCTGCTCCACATCCCCCGCCCAACCGCCCTACCATTGGTGGCCGGGCCTTCAGCCTCTCAGCCCCCAGGCTCTGGAACTCCATCCCCCAGTGCCTTCACCTTGCCTCCTCCCTTTCCTCCTTCAAGGCCGGTCTCAAGACCTTTCTCTTTGACCGTGCCTTCAGCTCCCCTCTCGATTCTCTACCCCCTCCTCGTCCCCACCCCTCCCTCCCCTCACCCTGACCATTTCCCCCTTGCTCGGGTCTTGACCCAACTGTACAGCGCCTTGGGACGTCCTCCTGACGTGAAAGGCGCTCTATAAATGGAATGTTCTTGTTGTTGTTGTCGAATCCTTTCATAATCTTAAACACTTCGATCAGGTCAACTCTCAATCATCTCAACTCGAGAGAGAAAAATTCCAACCTGTCTGATCTTTTCTGATAGCTGGATCGCCTCAGCCCTGTAAAATCACAGGAAATCTAGAAAAAATTCTGAGAGAAACTTCCTTTTCAAAGAAGGATATTGTGGCATTTGATGCACAATATAAAACCGTTCACTTCATGGCTGCCAGGCAACAACTTGAATTTATATAGCGCCCTCCACGCCGGACGGCATCTCAGAGTGCTTCACAGTAAACCAGGGGGAGGGGGAAGAAGGTGACCAAAGGCACGGGTGAAAAGAAAGGTCTTCAGCCGAGATCTGAAAATAGGAAGAGAGGGGGCGAGGCGAAGGGAGTGAGGAAGGGAATTCCAGAGCCTCGGGGCATAGAGGCTGAAGGCACGGCCGCCAATGGTTGAGTGGAGGATTCGGGGGAAAAGGAGAGGCCAGACCTGGTGGAGTGAAGGCAACGGGCACTGTTGTGAGGAGAGAGGAGGTCAGAGAGGTGGGGGGTGCAGAGAAGTGGAGGGATTTGAAGACAAGAGTGAGGATCTTGAAGTCGATCCTCTCTGGGACAGGCAGCCAGTGCAGTCTGGCAAGGACTGGGGTAATCGTGGAGCGGAGTTTTGTGCGGGTGAGAATGCGGGCGGCAGAGTTTTGAATGATCTGGATTTTATGGATAGTAGTGGATGGGAGACCGGCGAGGAGGGCGTTAGAATAGTCCAGCCGAGAGGTGACAAGGCATGGACCAGGGGTTCAGCGGCTTTCGGAGAGAGGTATTGGCGGAGACGGGCGAAGCGTCGGAGGTGGCAGAAGGCGGTGCTGGTGAGGGACCGGATGTGGGGGAGGAAGGATAATTGGGAGGTTGAACCTGACGCCGAGGTTGCGTACGGGTTCGGAGAGTTTTAGGGGGAGGTCGGGAAGGTGGAGGAGGTGAGAACCGTGTGATTTTAGACGTTGACGAGAGCCAAAGACTATGGGCAGAGTCTGACAAGCAGATACTCCGGGGTCTCGGGCGACGTCCGTCGAGGGGTTTGGACCTCGGTTTCTCGTCCGTGTCTGTTTGGTAGCGATAACGGACCGGGGGTCTGGTGGCTGACCCGGGGTGGGGTATGACCAGGACAGCTAACGTGGTGACATTTGACACTGGTGTAAAGAAGAGAAAGTTATTTTTCATGAAAAGTTTTTCCATTGTTTTACAACAGCGATAATGTGGGGCCCGAGTGCGCAGGCGCGGGGTCCGGACAGCGGGGCGGGGTGAGTGCGCAGGCGCGGGGTCCGGACAGCGGGGCGGGGTGAGTGCGCAGGCGCGGAGTTCGGACAGCGGGGCGGGGTGAGTGCGCAGGCGCGGGGACCCTGGAGACGGTTGCTAGGGAAGGCGGTTGGCAGACGCCGGGTAGTCATGGAGGATCCTCGGGAGCAGGAGGCCTCGGCTTATCTGAGGGAACATAAAGTCCTGGAGCTGCTGGAGAACCTGACCAGCATGTTACTGTACCACAGGCCTGGTGAGAGAGAGAGAGAGAGAGTGTGTGAGAGAGGTGGTAGAGAGAGAGAGAGTGTGTGAGAGGTGATAGAGAGAGAGAGTGTGAGAGAGGTGATAGAGAGAGAGAGAGAGAGTATGTGAGAGGTGATAGAGAGAGAGAGAGTGTTTGAGAGAGGTGATAGAGAGAGAGTGTGAGAGAGCTGATAGAGAGAGAGGTGATAGAGAGAGAGAGTGTGAGAGAGGTGATAGAGAGAGAGAGAGAGAGTATGTGAGAGGTGATAGAGAGAGAGAGAGAGAGTATGTGAGAGGTGATAGAGAGAGAGAGAGTGTGTGAGAGAGGTGATAGAGAGAGAGAGTGTGAGAGGTGATAGAGAGAGAGATAGAGAGTATGTGAGAGGTGATAGAGAGAGAGAGAGTGTGTGAGAGAGGTGATAGAGAGAGAGAGTGTGAGAGAGGTGCGGGAGAGAGAGAGAGAGTGAGAGAGAGGTGATAGAGAGAGAGAGTGAGAAAGAGGTGATAGAGAGAGAGAGTGTGAGAGAGGTGATAGAGAGAGAGTGTGTGTATGAGAGAGTGAGCGAGAATGCAGGACCCAGTGTGACTGTGCTTCACGGCCCTGGGGGGAGTGAGAGGGGTCCAGAGAGTGAGAGGGGTCCAGAGAGCGAGGGGGGGGGGGGAGTGAGAGGGGTCCAGAGAGCGGGGGGGGGGGGGGGGAGTGAGAGGGGTCCAGAGAGCGGAGGGGGGGGAGTGAGAGGGGTCCAGAGAGCGAGGGGGGGGGGGGGGGGGGAGTGAGAGGGGTCCAGAGAGCGGGGAGGGAGTGAGAGGGGTCCAGAGAGCGGGGGGGGGGGGGGGGGGGGGGAGTGAGAGGGGTCCAGAGAGCGGGGGAGGGGTTATTTGGAGGTGGTGAGTGCTTTGGTTACAGGGAATATTGGGAATAGGGGATATGGCGAGCACTGCCCCACCTGATGGGATATCAACCACTGGATGACAATGTATTTTATTTTATAGATAACCCACGGGAGTTTTTGATCACTGAACTGGAAAATGTGATGACAGTCAGAGACTTGTACTCTGAGCGCTATCCCTGCTTATTTGACGATTCAAACTTGGTTGCTATATACGGCATCCTTGACACCACAAAGCAAGGTTTTATCACCCAGGCACAGTATGTAGAAGGTATGGTTAATATCCAGGGCAGCTCACTTGGGACCAGCAAGTTCTGTCTTCACTCCAGTGCATTCACCCAGTCTTTCACTCACACACCCAAACTCTCTCTCCTTTCACCCTCCGCCACCCCTCTCTCACACGCACACACTCACTCTCTTTCCTCCATTTGCAAGTCCAAGATCAAGCAGCAAGGTGGATTTGTGGCGCTTTGAGATGTCCCAACGACATAATAAACAGCTATTTTAAACGCAAGGATTATTATATGATTAGTCCCTCTGACTCTTCCTCATTTCTTTCAAGATCTGTCTGATGACCTTCCTCTTCGACCCCACCTTTGGTCAGTTTTCCCCACCTTCGTCGACTCCCACCTCCCTCAGCTCCCAACCCCTCAGCTTCTACCCTCAGCTCGGTTGCCAGGTCAGGATTGTCAAGCACCTTAGGACATCTTGCTGACATATAAGAAGCTGTATAAATGTAAAATTGAATTGTATTATGCAGTGCCTCTTCGGAGTGAGTTGAACCCTCGAGAGGGGCACGGGGGTCTCCTCTCACTTGGCGGAGATGGTGTCTATTTATAATTTCTGCTACTTTATTGATGGCTCAGGGTGTTTAGAAGGTAAGGTGACCAAGTTCTTGACACGCAGCAGCTTTTTCCATCACTTTCCAACAAGTCATATCAATGTCTGCATCTGTTCTGTGTGGGGATTCCAGTGGCCCAATGGCTCAACGTTCATCCCTACTTTGGAATCTTTTCAGCTTTCAAAACACTGGGGATAACAGACTTTGATGAGTCACCGATAGGAACTGCTAAAAACCAGATCACCCTTGAAACGTTCAAGATTGAGGCGTAAGTACCCGCTTTATTTGGGTTTGTGTTTTTCACCTCAAGGCAACAAGATGTCATCACAGGGCGTGAAGGCTCAGCCACCAATGGTGGCGTGGAGGAGACGTGCTTGTCTCCTCTGTCCATGCCCTTTGCTCAGCTAATACTTAGCCTGTGTTAGCTAAGCAAAGGAAATGGGAAGAGGAGAGAGGTAGGGAGATGAAGGGATTTGTAGGTGAGGGTGAGGAGCTTGAAGTTAATCCGTTCAGAGCCGGTGGAGCCTGATGAGGATTGGCATGATGGGCATGTAGAGCTTGGTACAAGTGAGGATACTGGAGGAAGAGTGTTGTATAAACTGCACACTACTCATAATAATGGCTTCCGTCTTGTCCATTTTAGGATGTAGAATTATCTAGGAATGGATGGAGACAGTGATGGTGGTCGGGGTTTGATCTTATCTGTCCTGACTCTCTCCATCCAGGAGTCCTTCTGACTCGCCCCTCCCCCCTTCCACCTCAAGGGCTGTTTCAAGACCTTTGGGCTTCCTCTTTGACCGTGTCTTTGGGCATCTTTTGCTTCCCAACCCACAGCTCGGGTGCCAGCCACTTTTACATTGGGTGTGTTAAGTGCCTTGGGACATTTCCTAATGTAAAAATTACTATTTAAATGTAATTTTATTTTGTGTTGTCTAGTATTGCTCGGTCAATGAATAGCATCTGATTTTTTTAATAATAATAATCCTTACATTTGATGTCGCATCTTATCACACCTTTGGAGACATCTCGAAGCGCTTCACAGAATATACTGTAAAGTGAATTGAGTCAATTGCGCACAGCAGTGTCCCACAAACAGTCGTGGTATGAAGTGACCAATTTATTACTATTATTTTTTGGAGGAATTATTACCCCTGGAAAAGCGACTCGCCAATCGACTAACATCCGAGTTCCTACTTCCTGCTAGTTAAACAGAGGTATGTGGAGTAAGGAAACTTGCCCAATATTTTGCCCTGCCGGAAAACAAACCCAGGCATCTTGCTTGTGCTCTAATCACTGAGCTACAGGACTACAGGGATCCTGGAGAAAGGTACAGGTTAATGTGCCAAACAGCCCCGAGGCTTGCACCCCTAACCTCGCATCTTTCTCCGACCTTCTGAATCTCATTACAGGTTGGGTAATCCCTTAAAGAAGCAAGGAGCCATGAAGGATGTGAAAAGGGTTGGAAACCCTGGACCATCCTCAGCAGGTTCCCAATGATAGTAGTGCAAGATGGGATGGAAGCATCAGGTGCACATTCCTCGATTACCTGCCCGGTGGCATTCAGATGGTTGGGCATTACACTTTGTAGATTGCAATGATTTGTCTATTCTGCGAAGGCACAATGAGAGTTAGCACAATGAGAGTTACAGAAAGTGGATTAGCGGTGTCATACTGACTGCACAGTGGCCTCCCTCCATCATTCTCCACCGGCTAGGGTGCTGCTCGCTGTGCTGGTCTCAGTGATTTTGAGGCCTGTTGTGTTAAAGCTGGTAGGTTCACCAAATGGGGCAGCTGGGTTAGTTGTAGCCCTCTCTGCATTTCCACACGAAAGTTAACGCAGTGCTATATTTCTGGGAAACCGACAGGTAGACCAGGGTTGCAAGTCACAGTTAGGAGGAAGGATTTTCTGCTCTGGATTTCACAGCTTTTATAGAAATTACGTCCTGTTACAATAATAACACAACAACTTGCATTTATATAGCGCCCTCCAGGAGTGTTGGATAACCACTGGGCTCTGGTTTCTTCCTGATTTTACTTCAAATTGAAATTAGACGATCATGTAACCAGATTCGTTAGCACCTCATGTTGTGGGGGTTCAGAGAATGTTCTCTAAACACTGTCTCTCTCTGCTTTTCTGACTTTGTGTGTGTGTGCGTGTGTCTTTCTGTCTTCTTGCTCTGTCTCTCTCTCCCTGCTTTTCTCTGTATTCTTTTCTCGTTTCTCAGCCTCCAAAGCCTGTTCTCGATGTACCTCTGTGATCTCCTGTGACTGCTCTACTCCAGCCTGCTTCGTGCCCCCACTCACTCTGCTCTTCCATCAGCTGCCGAACTTTCAGTCACTTGGCCCACCTCTCCCCTCCTTCCTCTCTCCCAAAGCTACCATTACATTTGGAATTAACTGGCAGAGGGATTAAAAACAGCTATAATTCACTGCCTTTCTCCTTCAGATTATGTAAATATCCGAACCGTCTCTTATTCTAAAAACATGCATGGCTTTGTGAGTTTCTGAAGACATTTTTATTCTCATGTATCCCCGTTCTTAGGAAATATGGATTAAAGAAGACGTATGCTGACTTCAAAAAGACCACTCTAAGCTGGCCTTAGAGATGTGCCACAGAACCAGAATCTCTGCGACCATATTTACTCTAAATCCAAGAACTAGCATTTTACAACATATGTGTATTCAATAAATATTTCTGTTCAATCAAATGTTTTACTATCTCACATCAATCGTGCTATTCTTTCAGAAGAGACTCAGGCAGACAACAGTGGCTGCACAGATTACTGCCCTGTGAATACAAACAAACTTGAGACTAATTGAAGAATGGATTGAAAAATAGACTGTGCAGTGTATTTGGATGTACAGATCGTTGCTGATTCCGAAAACTTGTTCTCTCGGTTATCCTGCCAAACTTGCCCCCGATCCCCCGGTCAAATTTAATAATAATCCTTGCATCCGATATATGCCTTATCACAATAGTGAGATATCTCAAAATGCCTCACCACATATAATGTGGCGTGAATATTTCTATTTTGTGGGCAAGAAGAACAAACTGCAATTATATTGCACTTTCATGTCAGGAGGACATCCCAAAACGCTGGATAGTCGCGGGTTTTCACCCAGGCCGAGGGTTGGATTTGGGAGAGCTGGGGGTAGGGTGGGGGAAGATGACCGAAGGCGCAGGAAGTAGCCAGGCAAAAGGACTCCAGCATAGCTTTCCAAAGACTTGTAACAGATTAGCTGAAAGTCCAATTGCTGATTGGCAGCCAATTGGCGAACAGCAATGTCCCACAAATATCCATGGAGTTACCAATTTTATTTTGGAGGGGTTTCATTTGGGGTAAAAACTCCCCTCACTTTTTAAATTGTCTGACAATTCAACCCCCCTCCCCCTGCCCACCCCCCACTGCCCTGGAGTGTCAGCATAGACAATGTGATCCCAAACACGATGTGGAGCTTGAGCCTACAACCTTTCCGTTATTCTAGATTCAAACAATCTCTTCCATTTTCAATTGTTTTGTGAACACATGCATTAAGCCCTGGTTGTCGCTGTGTTGAGCCACAGGTAAGTGAGAATAACGTAAATAAGCATGCGTGCCATAAATAACACGACTGAGATTTTCTATAAATGGAAAGAGACTGGCTAGATCAAGGCTTTTTCTACGAGAGCAGGGGAGATAGTGAGGAAAAGTGATGGAATGTATGTACAATTCAGGCAGGAATCCCTCTAATCTCACCATCCCACCATATCCCTCAATATTTTGCGGCACCCATCGTTGGTTGGCCCAGAGCAGCCACCCCAACTGCCCCATCACCTACTCATTACGTAAGAACCTCTTCCGCATCCTTAAGGCAAACCCCTCATCCACATCCACACTCTTCACAACTCTCCTCCCTCAAACTCCACGGTCACTCTCCCACCACAACCTGCAATCCCCTAAACCCCTCCCCCAGCATCCAATCCCATCAGAGCCCCTACCTGCATTGCCCTTCAAATCATCTGCTCCCTCTCAAACAAAGACCCCATCATCCATGACCTCATCCTGGATGAGAATATTGACATCCAAGGACTCACAGACACCTGACTGTCCCCCAGTGACCCTATCCCCCGATCAAAGCCCCACGTTATACATTCCATCAGAACCTGTGGAGTGGTGTCCTGCAGCTGTCCTTAGCTCTGGTTAGAGCACTCACCTCACAAGCAAGATACCTGTGTTCGATTCCTGGCAGGGCAAAACCTTGGGTAAGTTTCCTTACACCACACACCTGATAATAATCCCTGAAGGAAAATCAATAATGATTTGGTCACTCAATCCACATCTGTTTGTATGCTGCTGTGTGCACTTGGCTGCCGCGTTTCACCCACAAAGTATAATCAATTCACTTTACAGTATATTCTGTGAAGTGCTTTGAGACATCTAGAAGACGTGATAATGTACTATATCAAATGCAAGGATTATTAGGATTATTATTATTAACCCCTGCTCCAACCATCTTGACGGCCCTCATCTCCCAAACCTCCTTTATCCTATCCCCTATTCCTCTGGCTGCTTCCCTTCTCTCGAGCACCTCACTGTCTACCATCCCTCCTTTCTCTCCTTCAGAACCCTCCTTGCATTACGGCTCTCCCAAACCATCCTGGCTCCTTCCTCACGGACATCTCTCCCCTCTCATCCCTGTCTCTCTGCATTGAATATCTGTTCATCATGGTCAATTTCAACCTTCATCTCAACTCTTCCTGCCCCACTTCCTCTGACTTCACTGCACTCCTCTCCACCCTAAATCTCACCCTCCATATAAACTCCCAGACCCACAACCGTGGTCACCCCTTATACCTTGTTATCACCAATGGCTTAGATAACTCCGGTCTGTCTATCACAGACAAGGCCAACTCAGCCAATTTCCTTGACTCCCGCTCCATTCCCCCTCCCCTCCATCAAGCCCTTCACCATCCTTTTCCGCCGATCAAAAAGATACCTCACAAATCTCATCCTTAGACCGCCTCTCCCTCTGGCCTTCCACCCACAGCAACCCTAATGCAGCCGTCAAGCTGCTCCATGATCGCCTCTCCTCCACCTTCAACTCATTGTCCCCCTGAAATCCAGGACCATCTCCAAACCCACCAGGTCCCCCAGGTACAACAGATATCTCCGCTCCCTAAAATCACAAACCCGGTTGCTCAAGCGCAGGTGGCAGAAATCCAGCCTCACAGTTCACCGCCAGCTGTGGCTCAAGGACCTTCACACCTTCATCTGCTCCCTCTTGCAAGGAAAAACTGCACACTATCCAAAAATCATTCTGGAGATTAAAAATAATTCAAAAATCCTAGTCTCCACCATCGACCACCTCCTCTGTGCACCCCCCCTCAATCATTACATCAAACACCAAGTGTGAAGAAGTCATGGACTTCCTTACTTCTAAAATAGAAGCCATCGGTGACTCGGTGGAGTCCTGTAGCTCAGTGTTTAGAGCACTCACTTTGCAAGTGAGAGACCTGAGTTCAATTCCAGGCAGAGGGCGAAACCTTGGGCAAGTTTCCTTACTCCACACAGAGCCTAATAATAATCCCTCCAAAACAAAAAACAATAATAAATTGGTCATTTTCAATCTAAGACTGTTTGTGGGACATTGCTGTGCGCAATTGGCTGCCGCGTTCGCCCACAAATATACAGTCAATTCACTTTACAGTGTATTCTGTGAAGCGCTTTGGACGTCCTCTCGATGTGAAAAGCGCTATATCAAATGCAAGGATTATTATTATTATTATTTACAGTGTGTTCTGTGAAGCGCTTTGGGACATCCTCCCGACGTGAAAAGTGCTATATCAAATGCAAGGATTATTATTATTATTATTATCCACCGGGCAGCCTCATTCTCCTGCCCCATGTCCCCTACAAATCACCCCACCCTGACACCATTCCGTCTCCTTCACCCCCCCCTCCCCCCCAGCTCATAGCACAGCCCCCATCCTACATTCCTTTGCCCACATCTCTCCTTCCTCCCTCTCATCATCATCCTAATGAAACCCACATCCTGCTGCCTTGACCCCCTCCCCACCAAGCTTCCCCTCCTCTGCCCACTACTAGCAGACACCATTAATCAGTCTGTTTCCTCAGGATCAGTACCACTCCCACTCAAAATAGTCATCATCACCCCACTCCTTGAAAAACCTACCCTCAATCCCCCAACATCGTGCACTATCCTATCTCAAATCTGCCCTTCCTGGCCAAAGCTTTCGAATGCATTGTTGCCAACCAACTTTGTGCACACCTCTCCCTTCACTCCCTACTCGAACCCCTCCAGTCCGGGTTCCAACCTGCCCACAGTACAGAGATAGCACTTGTGAAAGTCACAAACGATGTCCTCTCTATCTGTGACCAGAGGTCCCTCTGCCTCCTTGTCCCCATGGCGCTCTCCATCCTTGGCCCCCTTCTCTTCCTCATCTATATGCTCCCTCTTGGTGATGTCATCCACAGACATGGGATTAGCTTCCACATGTATGCGGATGACACTCAACTCTACTTTTCCTCCTCCAGTTGCGACCCCCAGTCCTCTAATGTTCTGTCAGTATGGCTGACAAACTTCAAGGCCTAGATGAGCACAAATTTTTTGTAGTTAAACGTCAACAAGACAGAAGCCATACTCTTTGGCTCCCGTTGATATCTTCTGTTCCTCGGTTCCTATCTGATCTGTCCTTAAAACTCTCTGAACCTGTGCACAACTTAGGTGTCAGATTTGATCCCCACATCCGGTCCCTGCCAGAACTGCTTTCCTTCACCTCCGCCACATTGCCCGTCTCCAACAATACCTCACTCCACAAGCTGCAGATCACTTGTCCACGCCTTCATCACGTCTTACCTGGACTATTGAAATGCTCTCCTTGCCAGCCTCCCCTCCTCAATTATTCACAAAATTCAATTCATCCAAAACTCCGCCGCCCACATTCTCACCCACACTCAACTCCGCACCCCGATTGCTTGACTATGCAAACACCCTGCTTGTTGGCCTCAACAACTCCTCCCTCCATAGGCTGCAGATTATCCAGAACTCTGCAGCCCGTGTCCTCTCTTGCACCAGGCTCCGTGACCCTATCACACCCATCCTCATCCGACTCCGATGGCTTCCCATCACTCAGAGGATACAGTTCAAGATCCTGTTCTTTACCTTCAAAGCCCTCTACGGCCTTGCTCCCCCATAATTCTGCGTCCTCCTAACCCCCTACCAACCTACCTGCTCCCTCCGCTCAGCAGGTTCTCACCTCACCTCCTCACGTTCCTCACCTCGCCCACCCCAGCATTGGTGGGCAGGCCTTCAGCCATTATGCCGCTACCCTCTGGAACTCCATCCTGCAGTCCCTCCACCTCGCCCCTTCCCTTGCCTCCTTCAAGATCCATCTCAAGACCCTCCTCTTCATCCGTACCTTTGATCACTCTGCTTCACCCCTGCCCTCCACCCTCCCTGATCCTAACCCCCAGCTCAGGGTCTGAAACACTGATTGTCCAATGCCTTGGGACTTCCTCCTGATGTGAAAGGCACTATGAAAAAATGTGATTTTGTTGCTGTTGTCCTTGCCAAACTCCACTGGTTTCCTGGCACAGAGCGGATCGACTTCAAGATCCTCATTCTAGTGTTTAAATCTCTCCACACCTTGGCACCCCCCACCACCTCACCCCATCCTTCCAACTTTCTCTCTCCTCACAGCACTACC